CTGTTAAAGTAGTTGGCTGTTTCCCCACTGTGCCTCGTAAGTGACCTGGTTTTGGAGCAGCCGAGCAAGTGCTGCTCTCGTGGTCTAGGCCGTGCAGTGTCTTGAGCTGGCGCCGTTCTCTGCTGCCTCGCGTGAGGGTCACCCTTGTGTGATGGCAGGGCAGACCCAGGAGGCTCTGGGGATCGGTGCTTTGGGCACATCCTACCTGCCCTACGTGCCTGTTGGGACATGTGAGTTGCCCTGTGTGGCTCATGCACTGTTGTCTTGCTTCTGTGTTCGGCCATATATGACAGAGAATGCACTTGACTTCATGTGATACTGCATGTCAGGAGGGCAAGGAGCAGAGCTGAACCAGAGCCACGTGTTGCTGTTTCCCAACCTCTGCTGGTGATGGACACGTCTGCCAGCAGCTTGTGAAGGCAACGGCCACCTGAGGCTGTGCAGAAACACAGTCCTATTCCTTGAAAACACAGGGTGAATTTTATCGTAGCTGGTCCCCCAGCACTCGCTGAGCCTTACGTCCTTCCTCGGTTCAGTATTAGTGCAGAATTGTATGGCAGGAGTGGCACGGGCAAGAAAAGGACCTCAGATTGGTGGCTCCTCAGGTCCTGGTCTCAGTGTGAGCCAGGGGCCTCATGCGTTGTGTCTGCAGGGAGAACTAAAATAACCCGGGAGCTGCTTGGGAAGGTGCTGAGCGGGAAGCGGTCAATAGGTGTGCGGCAGCGGCCTTCGCACTCGATCGGGGAGTTGTGTGTTGATGAATCGGGCTCAGCTGCGCTCGTTAGAGAGGATGCGAGGCGGGAGGGCTGAGAGGAGAACTATTGATCAGGGCGGCGGGACGCGCGGCGGTGCGAGGCTGCTCGGGGCAGGGCTAGGCCGCGCGCCGGGGGGCGCTGCCAGCGGGGCAAAGTGGGTCAGGGAGCAAGTGGGCTAGTGGTGACAGGCAGCTCAGTGCCTGCAAAGGCCTGGGGACCATCCCAGCAGAGCCGGCACCGTGCGGCCTGTGCCGGCTGCCAGCGTAGGCCGTGGGATGGACCTCCACCCTTGCTGGTCCACAGCTTGCTCTGTCAGTGAGAACCTCCATGTTCGAGCACGTTGGACCAGTCATGAAGCGTGTAACGACATTGGTGCTCTTAGGGAGCCAAGTCACAGGCATGGTGGTGGTTCCTGGCTGTCCTCAACTTTGGAGGGAATTTGATGTCTGAGTCCCCAGAGCAAAAGTCCAGCAGTCTCCAACTCTTGGGAGGGATTCTCCATTGCACATTGGTTTTACAGCTCCCGGAGCAGGACTTCATTTGTGAAGATGCTTCGTTACTGATGCCAGATAGCAGGAGTCAGTGCTGTGTAGACCTCTTTCTGCCATTTCCTTTTTCCAGGAAAAATTTCACCCTGAGAGAAAAGCTTTTCTGAGGGCATACTTCATCTGAATGTTTTTGTATCTCTTCCCCCTTTCTGGTTTCTGCTCCTTTTTCTTCCTCTTTTTCTTCCAGGGACATAGAGAAAGAGGTCGGAAACTTCGCTTTTTTCAGAAATACTTCTTCTGATTGAATTTTTTTTTCCCCAGAAAGCCTCTTGTCATTTTTGCTGAAACATAAAAATAATCACCCAAAAAAAGGGGAGGAAAAAAGTGTGATGGAAGAAATCTTAATGCTTCTCTGCCTTGGCTTTTATCTTATATATCTAGAGATACTTCTTCTGTGTTGCTGTCTGCTTAGGGGCTATGCTCAGGGAAACCAAAAGGGGTTTCTGTTGGTATATCCTGTGTCACAGTTTGTGTCTTTGCTTCACAAATGCACAAAAAAATTGTTGGAGAACAGGATTTTGCCTTGTGAAAAGGTGAAGGATGCAGAGCAGTGCTGGAGAGCTTCATCCTCAGCAGAGAGGACTGGGGGTCTAAATCTTGAATTTGGGCACACTGAAGAGTAGAGCTGCTTTTAGAGGGAATCTTCTAAGAGCTGGGCTTAATCAGGGTGTCACCAGGGTATTGGCACTTTGCTTCAGCTCTGCTAGTGGCTGGAAGAAGCTGTTTCTCTGTAGCAAGTTGCAATTGCAGGGGAGATGTAAACCTTGGTGCAAGTTCATATTCATATGGTGGATTTTACATACCAGCACATGTGTTCTCTGGAACTCTGCTTGACTTCCCTTTTATGTATATGTAAAACAGATAAGCCTTGGCCCGAAAGGGTTGTGTTACCTGCTTGTTGCTGATAGAGAGTCCTTTATAACCCTTCAGCTTGTTTCTTTGTTTGTGAGTGTCCGGAAGTTTGTGATCTCTGCCCAAAACCAATGCTGTTGTATATTCACACGTGTTCCTACACAACCACTTGTTGGCTTTCAACAAATATAGTTTTGGGGGCATTGGCTGGCCCCTTACGTGTGCTGGGGTGATTTGTGCATCTCTAAAGTATAACCCAAATTTATCTGTTTTTTCGAGTAGCTCCTGATATTAATGCCTTGTGCAGGGCACCTGTATGAGCACAGCATTGAATGCCCTGTGGTTTCTAGAACAAAGCTATAAGGATGAGGTTGAGATGATGACAGCCAACCTGTAATATTCCAGACGTTCATTTTGTGCATTCGGAGGCATCTTGGCCAAGACAAACCTGCAGCCTGTTTGCCCAGGCTATCGGTGTGCGTACGTCCTATTGTCACAGTTAAAACAATCTCACTTGCTTTGCTGTTGTTTTTAACACTCCCCCAGCCCTGGCCTCTGAAGCTTTTTTGAAAATAACATTTACAATAATATTTTTAACAGTTCCGTAGTATACAAAACTCCAGCACCTTGGCAGCACTCCCGGAAACTTGCTGAAAGTTAATGTGGTCAACCCTTAAAAAAGAGAGATTTTTTCCGCTTGACTCTTGCTTGTTAAACTCTCTGAGCCTAACATGTTGTTCCCTGCTGCTTGAAAAAACAAGGAAAGTCCCAATTTTAGCAACGCTGGATTGAGTAGCTTTCCAGCCGAGCCGTGGTTCAGGGGCAACCGTGGCTTCTTTTCCTGTCGTGGTGGCCTGTCCTGCACCGTCAAAGTGAAATTCAAGTGGTGCTCGGCCTGGAATAGGTTTTTGGAAGCCTGTGGGTGACGCTCCGCAGTGGGAGACGCGACTTGTTCGTAGTGACGAGACACCCTGTCTCAGAGGCTGTATTTTACATGGGAACCTTGGAGTATGGGGATTAAGGAACTGGGATTAAATTCCGATGTGGATTTTGAAGCGGGGAGCTTGTCCATGGCTCCTGGGTGGATAAACAATCCGCACTGCAGTAGCCAAGTGATGTTGAGCCGTTTGGGCTGCAGAAGCAAGTCCAGCTCGGTGCAATCAAAGCTACTTTTTTTCCACAGGAGAGCGTGGTGGGAGGAGTGGGGAGATGCTGCTTTGAAGTGCATCGGAGTAGAAACAGGCTTTTTCCTTTTTTTTTCTTTTTTTTTTTCCAGGGAGATAATAAAAGGGCAGAATTTGTACTAGAAACAGGAATTTGTCCTTCTCTAACAGGAAGCCGCTAGTATGTATTTTTGGGAAGCCACGGAAATCAGCAGCGTTCATGATCCAGTTTGAAGGCTGGCTGCCTCTGGGATTTAGAAACTTGCTTAAAATACAGTAACTTTTTCCTCTCTGTGGTTGTGAAGATTCTCTGCACTGCCCGTCAGGGCTGGTTTCGGGATGGGAGATGGGCAATGAGCTCCTGGGAGTTTGGTCTGGTGGAGATGTCGTAGAAAGAAGGAAATGGGGTTCTGCAGGAGGAAAAAAAATCACTTTTTTTTCCCTGGAATTTGTTTGCCTGCTTCTTTTGGACATGTGCTTTTGTGGCCAGATGCAGATCGCCAAACTGGTAACCAGTTGCGGGTCTGTCTGGTCGCTTTGGTTTACAGAGATGCAAGTTCACGGGTTGCAACCAAGGGCCGTATTTCACTTGCCTGAGTTCTGCCCAGGGCCTCTGCCTTGTCATTAGAGTCTTTGAAAAGGCTCCAGAGAGCCATTGGGAAAGTTAACCCAGGCTAGCCCGGGAATTTCGGGTCAAATTTAGGCTATCTGCCTGTGGCCCTTCGTGCAACCATCTGCACACGTCCTAATTGCTGGAAGTGTCGCATTCATTTTGAAAGCAAAAGCAGCGATGCTTTCGGCCATTTCCTGTTTCTCGTTGCAATCAGCTGGAGTTTTTTACCCTTCTTTTGTGGCTTTCTGTTCCCTCCTGCGCAGATCAACCCGTGCAGATCATCCCATCTTTTGCAAGACGGGATTTTAAACCTTTTCCAGCCTGTTAGCAGCTTCCTTGCGCTGCGGATGGAGCCGTGCGCCCTGCGGGGTTGGGCTTTTGGGTTAAACGCTGATTCTTGGGGCGGATCCTCCTGTGTGCCGGAGGCTCTGGCGCTGCAGAAAACCTGAATCCGCGTTTGCAGGCGGTCGTGGCTCACATCAGCGTTTGCGTTTGCTCCGTGCATGGATTTGGCCGAGCTGGGCTCTAGTGGGGATGGCCTTTTTGTGCCATTTCTGTGCAACACGTGGCACGTAAGCGCTGCAACGCGTGTGCAGGTGCCTTGGCACACGCCGTGCTCATTGACTGCAGGGCAGGGTTGCCTGCAGCGGCTGCAGAGCAAGGGCGTCTCGCTGCTCCAGCCTTCAGGAAGCTTGGCTGCAATTGGGAAAGCCTAAATTTAGGGTGTTGCTTTGATCCCGGCTGCCTCCGAGACTGCCCTTCTGCTCCAGCTCTCCGTCCGTCCTCCGAACAAGCGGCACCCCGTGGGCTTGCTGCAAAATGAAACGGGCTAAGGACACTGTTGCAACAACAGTGTTGATGTGAGCGTGTTGCTTCCCACTGCAAACCCCTTTTATTCTTTAAACGGGCAAGTTTTCTTTGTCCTTCTGTACCTGTCACACGTGTAATCTCATTACTCCAAGGTAGTGATGTGCAAACGTGTATGTTTTTAAGGGCGGTCCCTTTTGGTCTCTATTCCAGTTGTCATGTTCACGTGTAAACTCTGTGCATGCTTCTTGTTTCAGGGTGGATGCTTGAGAGTGGAGGATAAGCTGCAAGCGTCTGGGACCGCTGGAATGGAGGCCTGATGTAGATGGAAAGATGGGTAAGAACTGGATTCCCTTAAAGCAATTAATTTGCTACAGCCTGATTATTTTGGTTGGGGTTGCCTGGCATGACAACGTGGTGGGAGATGCTGATGTGATGCCTTGGTTAAAAATTATCTTGTTTTATTTTTTTTCTATTTCAGTGTTGACAGAATTGCACAAATTGGTTCTAGGGGGAAACTGGAGTCTTTTTCCAACTCTACTGTGTATTTCTGAGCATTCCATGTATCCCTGTATTTTCATTCCCTGTATCACTTCTCCAAGAATGCTTCAGTTGCAAACAGAGCCCCCATATATTGCTTATCTGAATGATGATCTGATTTACTTGCACCTTTTCTCTTTTCTCCTGGAGGAACACAGTAGTATATCAGGGGCCCTGCAGTAGTGAGAGAGATGTGTTAAGTGAGGATTACCTATAGTTCTGGAGGTACATCATAGTTTTGACCTTCTCTTCTGCTAAAGAAAGCTTTGTTATAACAGAAATTGGAGCCTCTTGAAAGTTGTTTTAGCTCAATTTTAGCACATGAATAACCAGAGAGGTGGTGGTGTCTCCTGCATGTAATACATGTGAGGTTCAAGTGCCCTTGGGCCATCAGGCTCCCTGCGTTGCTCTTGCAAAGTCCTACAACAGCTGCAGAGAAACAACCATGTCCTGCTCGAGGGCCTGTAATCTGCTCAGCACACATCTGATGCCAAAAAAAATGAGACTGGGAGAAATGTAATTTGCTGTTCTCTTTTCCCTAGCAAAATGCATTGGGAAAAGGGAGCAAGAGCACTCGTTTGAAGCAAAGTAAAGCAAAACAGAAAGGAGAAGAAAGTCCAAACCTGAAAGAATGACAAATTTCACTTAGAAAGCACTAGTGGGAAAACCCCAAACATTTTAGAGAAATTTTCACTTAGAAGGTTAAAGCCACTGTTTTGTCAAAGCAATTTTTTTTCTTAAAGAAGGAAAGTTCTCACTTGCTCTGAATTGGTGACTCCAGTGTAGTTCTTAGCAGGCAGTTGACTTGGGAACTTCTTTTTATTTTGGTTTCCCTGGTGTCTCTAGCTGGAAGGGGAACTTGAGCCTTGTAGGCCTGAGTCTCTGCAGCAGCAAGTGCTGATGAAAAGTCCTCAAACCAGCTTCGAAGTAGCTACCTTGCATGCATTTGCATAGAGTTGTCACTGCGGTGGCTCCTCCAGTGGAAGGAGCACCCTTTTCTAATCCTGTCACTGTGTTTTGGGGTGTGCAGGCTGAATATAGAGGGGTCTGTTGGGCAGATCCACAGTTGTGCTCACCCTTGTGTGTGGGCATGCTGTGATGGCCCAGCAGGACTCTCTGAGAGAATTTTTGTGGATTTTTGTAGCAGATCCCTTGCAAAGATGATCATTTTTAGAGGTGAAGGACAGTGCTTCATGGAATTGACCCCGTTTTGAGTCAAAGGCAGATAGACCTGATTAGTGTTACCGAGTGGTGTCTGTTGATTGAAGGATCATTGCATCAGTCTTGCTGGTGCATGAAAGATTTACCTAGATTTAGAGCATTTAACTTTCATTTCCCCATTTTATGTGTGAGCTTGCTTCCTTTCTATGCAGTGGGAAGTTGGAGTGTTTTCCAGGGAAGAGCAGGAAATACGGAGTTGTTTCATTGCTTCCTTTCTGGTGGAGCACATAGATGTGTTGGATTAGGTGATCTCTTGAGGCTCTTTCCAGGTCTGCCCTTCTCCCTCGGATCACACTTGCAGTCCTGTCAGTGGCTTAGAGTTCAGGGTAGCACTTTTCACTCCTGGACATGTTCCAGTGAAGTTTCATGACCTCATGTGGAAACCGTAGGATGGAAGTGGGAACTTCTGTCTTCTCCACGGGCTCCAGCTCTGACATTAGCCCATGCGTGATGCAGGGCTGCTTGACCTACCTCTCCATAGTGGTGGCATCGTAGGGCTGTGGAGAGGTTGCTCTGCCATCGTGGGTCCAGGACGTATCTCTGCACGCGCTGGCTTGCGACCAGCTTGTGCAGGGCTCCTTGACACTGTGTCCTCTTAAGGTGTGTAGACATAGTCATGGCTGTGTCTACTTGATGCTAGTATCTGTTCTTTTAGTGCTGTCTTGAAGTACTTGGAGGTCTCTCCTGCAGGTGGGACAGAAGGCTGCAGTGTCCAAGGGCAAAGACAACTGGTTATGGGCTAGAAATCTGGGGCAGAACTGATCTGGTTTTGCTTCATGCTTTGGCTTTAAACAGCATGGAGTCCTGGTGAGCATCTCTATGGGGCTCCTTACCCCAGATGTGCAACTTTTGTACTGAAGCATTTGACCTTTCCCTGCATGGAAAAGGAGGGCAGTGAGAAGAGCAGGATGGAGCCACGGATTGTATGTGGAAGCAGCTTTGGGAAGGCTCCATGGCCTCCGTCACGTGAACAAAATATACCTGGTCAGCAGTGCATGGGTGTGAAGCCTATAAAGATCTCCGTGTCTCCAATGGGACTGAGTCAATGGAGGTTATAAACTGCTTCGTTTAAACACTGCATCACAGTAAAAGCAACAGGGAAAATAAACCACAACCTTTTATTGTGTAATTTTGTTGTTTAAAAATAATGCAAGCATTCTTAATTCTGGTTACGAAGTGCTGTGTGTGCTGTGTGTTTCTAAGGCTAAAAATGTGGGGCTCTCAGTCTCTCCCATTCCACATTTGTCCATATAACCCTAAGGTTTAGGGGTCATGTACCTTTTTTCCTGGAGGATGTCTCTGCTGCAGCAGAGAGGCAATCCGATGTGCTGGGGAGGGGAGATGGTCCTTGTTTTCAGCACTGCCTTGGCACGAGGCTGGTGATGAGTACCCTGGCCGTAGGATGGCCTGGGAGAAGACAAAGCAGGAGGCTTAAGGAGAAGGGGGCTCTTCTGGGTAGTCATGGGCTTGTCCCCTATTCAGTTTCTTAACCCCAATTCAGTGTTTTTCTGAGGCTGCTGAAATAGGAAAACTACTCCAGTTCCATGGCTAGAGAAGACACCAGCTCTGCACATCCCCATGTTTGCAGATCGTGGTTTCTCTCACCTCTTCCATGTCTTGTTTTCCTCATTCCTGAGTCTGTATCAAGTGGAGTTCTCTTGCTCTTGGAAGGCTAAGAGCTATTAAAAAAAAAAGGATGTTGAACCGCAGCAGTTTGTCTTCTTGCAGAGCACACTGAGCTTCTTAGCTTAGGTTTTGTCGTCTCCATAAGATGTGTGGGAGTTCAATGAACTTTTTCCCCCTCCTGCAAATTTGCGGCCTGGGGACGGTGGCTCTGAGCGTCGGAGGTGGCTGGAGGTCGTTACGGGCACTCAAATAACCTTCAAAGGCTTCGGAGGCAGCCAGGGAAATAACCCGCCGGCTGCGTTCCCTGCCGGGCAAACACGTTTCGCCTTTCAACGAGGCTCCAGAGAGGGGTGGCTTGTGGCAAAAGCTAATATCTTTTTATTAGACCAAACTGATAGAACTGGGAAAAAAAATAAAAAGAAACAGGCCGCCCTTTGGGCACATTAGCCCTTTCTCAGAAGCGGTGAAGATTTCAAGCTAAAGGCAGCCAGGAAAAGTGCCCTGTGTTTAATTAAGTTAAACTACTAGGCAGGGGGAGAGGAAAATGTTACTAGTGTCCGGGGAGAAGAGAGGAGGGTTAAAAAAGAGCAAAAAGAGCAAAAAGAAGGGAACCAGTGTGGGAGGAAGGGTGCCTGTGGTTGGTACCTGTGAAGTGGTGAGGAGCTTGCAATGCAGATGTTGCAGCAGAAAATGCCCTGTGCCGTTGAACAAAAAAGACCTTTTTCAGAAAAAAAAAACCAGTGGAGTTATAGGTAACCAAAGCCTTCTTAAATGTGGTGATTCTACATTTTAAGCATCTGTGCCCTGCTTGCAGCTGCCCTGGGAGCCACCCTGCTGCTGCAGGGCTAGGACATGTTCCACAGCTGGAGCCAACAAGGTTGAATTAAGTTTCTCCTCAGTTTCTGGGGGCTTTAGGCCTTTTCATGCTCCTCGATAGCTGGTGGCATGGGCTGCTAGTCAAAAAAAACCCCTTGGTCAACAAAATTCCTGGCCCTGTGGACTCATAGTGCTGCCTTGCTTGTGGCCAAACTGTCTTCCCCCCCCAGAATAGGGACTACAGAGTCCTGTGTTTGGTGTTTCATGTGTAAAAATGTCACTGTTGCACATGACAACTGGTTTAGCTGTTTTAACCAGATTTTTGCCTTCCCCCTGCGAGCTCATTCCTGGCCAGTTGTTCCTGCCCCCTTTTTTCATGGTGATGGGAGGAGAAGAGGCGCTTCTATCCCAGGTAGGACCTTTGGGACCATGCAGCTTTACAGTGGTTGTAAGGGTCACCCGAGCATGTGGCATGTGAGTAGGAGGCAGGGATGGTCTGACTGTGCCCTAAAACCACCAACAATTTAGTAAACACTTGTATCGGAAGGTGCAGCCTTTGGCATCATCCTTCCTTGGTTCTCCTTCCCTGGAGAACAGGATCCTGGTGCTTCAAGCCTTTGACTTGCAAAGGGAAGGTGCTGGTGGCTGCTACGGTGTATTGCAATCTGAACTGGGTAAAAGTTATGGAATAATTAAATATTCTAATAAAATAAGCAGATCCTAAACACTGCTGCTCTGCTTAGAGGCATGTGGGTTTCATTTAAATTGGGGCTCATCTGCATCTGTCACTAGATGGATGCACAGAGCAATCTGTTTTGCCACAGGTTATTTTTAGGGATAGGATATTTTTAGGGCTTTAAGATAGTGCTTTTAAGGGGGATGCTTTGCAGAGTGGTGTTTGTAGCAGGTGGGATCGCCTCCCTGTACCTGCCTAGGGGCTTGCTACGGTCCAAGCCGTGTTCTGTGGTTTATACCTTGACCTTGTGCTTCCAGCTCAGGACGTCCCTGTCATCTTCCTAGTACTGACTAGGATGGTCACTGTGATAGGATCCCCTCAGCTATTCACCACGTTGGTGGCAGTCCGTATCTGCTGAAGATGTTTAGCCGCTGAGGAAACCCTATGGTCTGAGTCCTTTCCCCATCTGGAATGCTGTTTTTTCCCCAGTAAAAGCCTTTTCATGGCCCCTGCTTTGAGGAAGAGCAGCGTTTGTCTTCGCAAGCAGGTTGTTTGAAACCTTCTTCATGTAGGAAGTTAGTACTGTCTGGTTCCCTGATGCAGAAAAGCCAAGGTGGGCCTGGTAGAACATGTACTTTCTGGTGAAGACAGTCCGGGTTGTTTGTGGTCCAAGTGCTGCAATATGTGGGTCAAGACTGTTCCCTTCTCACAGTGCAACTGTAAGTAAAGAAAAGGAGCTACAGGAATGAACTAAGGGCTGCTCAAATGTAAGAACTGATGCGTTCCCAATTCATTTAGTTAAACAAAGAGGGGTTAAAAAGGGATAGGATCTCAGTCTCAGTGCCTGCAGATGATGTGGGGGAAGGTTTCTGCTAGCAGATCTTTATAAAAGGTACAGGTATATCAAGGCAAACGAGTAGAATATGAAGCCATCTAGCTGGAGTTTAGAAAGGTATGTGTTATAGTGAGGGCATTGGAGATAATACTTGAAGCAGTCTTCAAAGAGATCTTTTTGGGCAGCTTTTCAAAAGAAAACGTTTTGCTTGATCCCAGGTCAAGACCATGTTTTAGACACTGCTCAATGAATTTCTGTGGCCTTTATGTGCAGTCAGGAAGGTTAGGGCAAGTTAGGTCCTTTCTGGGCTTAAAATCCATTCACACGTTCAGTTCTGGCTGCAAACTTGTACAGTCTTCGTCAAGACTCGTCCATCTCTGTTTCTCATCTTTACAGTGCAACCTAAATGACAGTTCATCTGTCTTCTCTGATGGTTTAGCTGAAAGCCCATCAGGACAAGGACTGACCTTTGCAGGGCACTGTGTGGTGTTGAGGTAATGGATCTTATACATCGTTTTGGTAAATGATTAAGGCCAGGATGTCTCACATCAGAATATACCCAGTGGTTGCTCTCTTCTGGAGAGGTGGACGCTAGCGATGGCACCGCTGGAATTTACACGGGCCGTGACCGAACCGGGCTGTCACCACCACGGCTGCGAAAAGCACAGTGGCATCTTCAGTGACCACAAGCGGTCACAGCTGCGGTTTTACGTTTGCTCCAAGCAGAAGCACATGTGCCAGCATGCAGCCCCTGAGCTACATGCCACGGCCCTGGCTCCGTGCTGACTCAGAAGATGATGTTCTGCCTTCTCTAACACCCAGGGTTTTTCCCTGACTTTCCCCAGCTGAAGCCCTGTGAGAGGGGCTGAAATCAGACTGGGCGATGTTTTACCAGACTCCATCTCACTTTTGCAGCCTTTTCTCAGATGCTTCCTACAGCTGGTGCTTTTTATTTTTGTGCATGGTCGATGGCAGCAGCCTCATGGAACTACCGTACGCCGCCTCTTAGTAATGACCTATGAGCGAAGCCAACAATAACAGCACTGTCTAGACCATCTGAGCACAGCTAAATCATTCCTTTGTCCCTTCTTCACTTGCTTTCTCTCTGGACTCTCGAATTGTTTTGGGTGGTCCGGGTTGACCTTCAGGCTCATTATTTCTGCCTTATTTTTCTCATTCAGAAGGAAGCCGGCTGTAGTGAGACTGAAAGCTCTACTAAGAGTGAAACTCCAGGTTCCTCTCTTCTGCACGCACGCTGGAACCGAAGCTGGGTGGCAGCTCTGGAAACATGTATGGAGGGCAGAGGGATGTGTCACAGTGCGGCTTTTTGAATGGAATGGATTTTACTTTGTGGTTGACTTCTGCCAAGTGCTGAATATCCTGATCTCCGCTCTCCCTCCGTCTTTTGCTTGCCACTGAAAGGACAAAGCAGACCTTCTTCTTGGGGAAGAACCGTGCATGTGGGTAGAAGGAGACAGTTTGGGAGGGGGATGCAGTAATTGGAGATGTAGCTGCTCAGCCTCTTAGGTAAAAGTGATTGTGATCACTGAATCATAAGCACAGTCCTTGAACTTCTTTGGCTGCAGTTTTACTTCAAGTTGTTTGTTGACTGAAACTGCTTGGGTTCATCAACTTCACTTTGGTGTTATTTGCTATTTAAAAAAAATCTTCTTTTTTTAATGGCACAAATCACCTGTGTCATGCTGTGATGGAGAAAGAGCACACCTTCTCGTGTGGTGGGGATTAAAAGCCTCCACACTGCTTTAGGGCAACACAGAAATTAAACCAGATTTCTGCCAAGCACATGTCACAGTGTTGTTGGCTCTGTCATGAGTTTTAATTTGCCCAGCTCTTCTGTAGCAGGAGTGTTTGTATGGACATGCCTTGCTGGGGTAAGAGTTGGTTCATTTTACAAGCAATTTTTGCCATCAACCTGCAGCTCTGCTAGGTGCATTTGTGCAGTACAGGGATGGGAACGATGCAGGGCCGGAAGGTTGTGCGGGGTAAGAACCTGCCTGCGCTGTGCGAAGTTGAAGCTTTCCCCGAGTCTTGGAATCCCTCCGAGCTCTGTGGGCGACTTCGCTGGTGTTGTGCAACTCGCAGTTGTTGTTTTGCTCTGGAGATGTGACAAAATCCAGGGAAGACGCGTTGGCTGCACTGCCTCAACGCCGCCTCCCAAGAGCAGATCGGGAGAACCTGATCTTGCGCGTCCCTTGGGCAGGGCTCCAGGTGGTTCTCCATGGAAAGAGCCATCCAGCTTGTGCCCTCCGCTCACCCGAACCAAAGCGAGCGGGGAGCAAGCGTCGTCGGGCGCCCCTCTTGCTGAAGAGCCTTGGGAGCAGCATTTGGATCTAATTATCCAGCGAGCTTTGGGGCTTGCTTGAATTTGGACTTGAACTGGCTGCGCTGGTTGCTCGTTTCCATGGAACAGAGTCCTCCACCCTTCCAGGGAGTCCGCTCGGAGACCCCGAGAGCAGCGGCGAGGATGGGCAAGAGAGCTCGTCTGGAAAGCATCAGGCCCTGCGCGAAGCCGTCGGGAAGAGCCGCGCGGAAGCGTCCGTGCTGCGAGCGACGACGCAAACTCCGTCCCTGCTCCGACGGCGCCTCGGAGCACGGAGCGAGGCTGGAGCAGCCTCGTGCTGCGGCGCTAGTCGCTCTGCCCTTGCAGCTGCCCTGGACTAGCAAACACACACTTATCAGTCATTTCTAGTGAAAAAAATGTACTTTATTATTTATTTGTGCTGAAAAACTGCTCTGATATGCAGATAGTTCATGCTGCAATGGCAAAAAGCTGCCTTTCATGCTTGTATAGGAAGCAGTTTATTTTTATCTCACTTTTTAGCAGTTCTCGTGGCTTGGATTGGTACATCATGTTTTTGGCAAGTGGGGAAAAATTCGCTTCAGAATGCGCTTTGGCACCTGCTTTTTAATAGATGGAGGAGCAAAGAGGCTGAGTTGACACCCTAGATGTGAGAAATATCTTCTTGTTCCTTCTTCCTCTGTCTGAGGCCTGGTTCAGGACAGGCAGGGCCCGTTTTTGATGCTCCTGGTTGTATCCTGCTTCCGTGGATGGTTGAGGCTTTCTGCAAATGGGTTAATTTTAGCCGGTTCCCGAAAGCGAGTGGAGGCTTCTTGCTCTGCGGCGCTGGGTGAGCAGAGGAAGCTGCTGGTGGGTTCTTGCCTTGGGCTTTTCGTAGGAGACTTTCACCGTCTTGCTGGTGGGGACGTCACAGCAGTAGTTTTTAAACCTAAGCGTGGCAAACTCGCAATGCTAAAAGTTTGGATAAAATTGATGCAATTGATGAGTAGGGATTGAAGGAAGAACACGGTTGCAAGGCTGAGGAAAATGCACTATGAACTTACTGAACATCAGAAACCCCTCTGGGTTTTCCAGCTAAACAGAAATCCCCACGATGATGCTGTGATCAGATCTCCAGCTGCTTATGCAGCATCTCCACTTGTGTCTGTGCTCCCAAGAGTCCCTGTGTCCCTAAAAAAAGACTAGGGACAAAGTGGATGAATGTCCTGGGTTACAGGGCTTCCCTGATCCTGTCTGTTGGGATTTGGTTGCAGAGCATCCACGGCTTGGCCCAAAAGGGGGGTCTGTGCAGGCCTTTCTGGGCCCATCTGGGGATGTCCCCAGGTCTGGGGGAGCAGCGGTTGGACAAGGGCTCTTGCCAGCAGCAGCCCCCGAGGCTGCGGGCGCTGCACCAGGGCAGCGGGTTCAGGAGAGCCATGTTCTCACTTGGACTGGAATGGGAAAAATGCAAGGATTTTATTTTATTTTATTTTATTTTATTTTATTTTATTTTATTTTATTGTGGTGATGATTTTGGTGGAAAATTCCTGGAGGGCAATGTGTGGGGCCTTTTTTTCTTTTGTTTTTGCTTGTGTGTGTATTTTTGTTTTAATTTGTTCCCCTCCACAAAAAGAATTTAAAAAAACCTTTTTTTCCCCTACTACAAAAATCTCTCTGGAAAAATATTCCTTTCCCCAGAGGACCCTTTTAGGAAAAGAAAAAAAAAAGGGGGGTGGGGGAATTCAAGACTCTTGTTCTTTCCTGAACTAGAAATGAAAGTGGTGAGGGGGGTTTGTTTGTTAGTTGGGGTTTTTGTTTGCGTGTTTGTTTTTGTTTTTTTTTACATTTTTTGAATGTTTCCGTAGCATTTCAGGTTGAACTCCCTCCCCTCACCTGCCTGTTTTCAATGGAAAGGAAAAAAAGGGAGGGAGGGTGGAATTGCACTTGTAATTGCTATTTCTCAATGCAGTAGTTCATAGCTGCCTTAAGAGACCATGACCATAGATGTGGAAGTGCTAAAGAGGAGCGGACTGTTTTCAACCAAATTTCTTCATGTTGCAGCAGGTCAGACAGGCCATACGTGCTCACAGTGCGTGTCTGCTCCATCCTCTTGCCTCAGCACCCTCCAGGATGAGGCTGCCTGTCCCACCTCAGTTGTCTCCTTCTTTTGCAGACGCCGAAGAAGCTCTGAACTCTATTATGAAGGATCTGGCAGCGCTGGGCAAGTGCGGAGGGCTGCTGGACAACAACAGGAATAAAAACAGTGTCCACTCCGGCAAACAGGTGAGACGTCTCTGGAGTGCTCCACAAACAGCAGCAGAGCTTGAGGTTTGCAGCTTGAACATTTGGATTACTCAATTACATATCGACGGTGTTGACGAGTTATAATATTTATCACGCACGTTCCACATCGGATAGTTTAAGGGTAGACTGCCAGCTTTGAGCTGTAGACACCCAGCCTCTTTTGGGAGGAAGAATGTCACTCTTACGTAAAGTGTTTAAATATTAATTACCAATGTTTATCTTTATGCTCCTAATCCCAAACATTTTGGCCTTGCTACACATACAGTTTTGATTTGTTGAGCGAAAATATGCCCCTTGGGCAATGCGAAGAGTTATCCACTGACACTGACATAAGAGCCGAGGATGGATTTAATATCCTATTTGCGTGTGGAATAAATGCCATAAGATACTAAGACTGCATAGAAAGAATTCAGTTGTCAAAATACCAGGTCAAAAAAAAAAGGAAAAAAGGTGGCCAGGAAGCTGTTGGAGACATAGTCAAGCAAATCCACTTGGAATTCCATTTCTAGTGCTATGGCTTAGAATAAGCTTGTAATCAACTTTGCAGTCGCTGAGGGCCTAGCAAGGTAGGAAACAAGTTGTCGTTTACAGCTGTGGGGTGTATTTTAGTGGCACTTGTGCTAGTAACAAGGAATTCTGGATGCCAGAGTGCAAAATGCTTCTCCCGAGTCCCTCTAGGGTTCTTAGACACACGCGGACGAAAGCACATGCGCACGTTGCACGTCGCTTTGGAAGCGAGTGTCCTGGCGGCAGCAGCTGGCCAAGTTGGAGCGCTGCAGCGGCGCTCAGCTCATGCTGAAACACGGCCAACGTGTTTACAAAACTGACCGCAGAAATTCGGAGCCGGCTTTTTGCAGCTGCAGGCGGATGGGACAGCGCGGCGCGGCCGGGGCTGGCTCGTGGGGGAGCCTTTGCTGCTCGTGGATGGGTGGGGACCCTTCCAAGGCATCTCCGAGCGCGCTGGCGAGGGCGAAGCTTTTGAGACTCGTCTTAAATAGCGTATTTGCTTTTTCTTGCAAAAGGAGAAAAATCCCGCTCTCGCTTCTGAAAGCTGTAAATGCTATAGATAGCGTTTAGCTATAAATGCTATAGATACACAGTCGGTTGGATACAAGGAAAGTGAGTTTTCATCGGGTGAATTGCTAAGTATAGAAGTTACCTAAAACTGTAGAAGAATATTGCATTTCAACCCATCCAGTCCCTATCCTTAGGTCACTGGTGGGATTATGTAGTTCTCTGGCAAAAGCTTCAGGGCTGTTGGCTGCCACTTGCACTTGATTTTTACCCTAGGGATCTAAGCGTTTGTCCCAACTACGGCCTTGGTGCTTGGGCAAGTGTTCCCTCCTTCACGGTTCTCCTCCTGCCCGTACCCAGACCCCCGCGTGCTCGGGGCTCCTCGGAGCTCCGGGATGGGGAGGCACGAGGAGGCAGCGTCCGGCTCCTCTCGCATCCAGGCCCTGGACCAGCCGGCCCCGCGGGATGAAGGGCGTTGGAGTGCGCCGAGGTGGTTGCTTCACTAGTTGGACTTGCTGGAACGAGGCGGGATGACCAAGTCTCGTCCGCGAGGTGGGGAGTGGCCAAAGGAGGTGGGATTAGCAGCTCCGAAAGCTTTAATTGACTTGTTTTGGGATGCTTGTTTTCCCTTGTTTTCAGTGAGGAATTTGGCGGGGGAAAAGGTTGCTTTGGCGGTGCTGCTGTTCTCCCGGGGCTGCTTGTTGCTGGTACTCGGTGTTCCCGTTTTTCTGCTTGACCAGGTTGCCTGCCCGGGCTGAAGGATGCACGGCACAGACTCCATGGAGAGCGGGGCAGCGCCGGGGGGCATTTGCATGCCTAAATTCCCCTCCTAAGGGACATCAGCAATGAGATTTCCATGCCACACTGCAGCAACACATTCACCCTGAAATACTTGGGTTCTGGACATCGAATTTTTAGTGTTTTTTTTTTAAGACAGCTTTTTCTGAAAAGAAAGAAAAAAAAGACTTTTCTGAGGCAGGGGAATCCTTTAATCAGTGCTCCAGTTTTCCCGCTGGAGAACATTTTAAGCAGCAATGTGTTGACTAACTGTCCTTCTGTGGCTTGCGGCATTTTTTTGGTCCACTGAGAAGCTCCACAAGAAGCGCTGCCTCCTCTGCCTCTCCCAGGGCTCCCTGCAGCCCTCCTGATGGTGGATGAACTTCCCAGCCTGTCATGCAGCACTGGGCCACACAGGAAAGGAGTCGATGTGTCCTACATTATATTTCATCCCCAAAAATACTGCCAGCTCTGTCTCAGATTTTTTTTTTGAAGTGAACTTATCCCTAGACAAATTGTTTAAAAAACAGTGTTTGTTTGTTTGTTCTTAGTGTACTTTCCTTGCAAATGTTGTTTGG